GTTAAAAGGTCAAAGATCAAAGATGAAACAATTTTCTTGATTATTATAGAATGGCATCACCTGAAATAATATTAAGATCAAAGGCACTTTGTGACACATTAAAGTCACAAGTCAACAGAATGGAAGATAAAATACTACCTAGAATATTCTTTGGTTGTTGAGGTGGGAAATGGACTGGCTCAAGCAGCTTTATCTCCATTGACCTATAGGAACATCGAAATCTTTCTGATTTCCTTTTTTTCCCAATGGACTTTCAACTTTCTTGTCCTACCATCCAGGCTGGCCGGATCAAAAGTGGAATGACTGAAAAGAGGAAGAAAAAATGGGACTCTATTGTGGACAACAAAGAGTCAGTGTCCCTCTCATTGGTCAGGGCCATTACCAGGGGTATGTTAATATGATACTACTGCTTAGAATGTGTCATCAGTTTGCAGTTTAAATGAGGGTCAGAACATTGATTAATCATTGCAGAGAACACAGAAACTTGAGTACTTGCATCAGTCTTAATAGATTTCAGTTAGTCGTATCTATATGTGAAGAAGGTTTTTGATTTCTTTGTCTGGGCTACAAAATATCTGGAGGTGGAGGTGAATGAGATTTCATCCATGGTGCTCAAAACATACAAATGATGATGAATGACAAATTCAAGAGTAACACCTATTTCAAAACCAGTCTCCTGGTTTATGTAGAATACCCACGAAACACAATAGACAGTCCTCTGAGATTATTTCAATTATTTCCCTTATTATCCTATTATTTTCTCTCACTCTAGAAAGGAAAGCAAAAGTATGCTCTCAATTGTATGAACTATTCATTTAACTAAAATTATTCAATGGAGAAGGCAGATTAGAAAAGAATTTGTCATTTTAGGTGGCACTGAATTGTAGTCTGTTTTGTCATTTACATTGGAGGACTCATATTGGTTCCTCTGACTATCATCAAGCTGATGTTCCTCTTTGTTGTTTCTCATCTTTGACTCAGTCAACCAAAGAGCCAACTTTAAGGCCAAATACCAGGTGCTGAATCAGTTGTGCAAAGGAGGATGTGGATCTGTGTTTGCTGGATACCGTAAAGCAGATCACTTGCAAGTCGCGATCAAACGTGTACCACAGTTAAATCTCAAACAAGTGAGTCTAGATGGGAAAAAGCTCCCTGCAGAGGTGGCCATAATGCTAAAATTAGCAGCTGAAAAAGATGGCTCTGTGGGGATGGCAGCACCAGTAGAATTACTCGACTGGTATGACCTGGGACATGAGTTGATACTGGTGCAGGAGAGACCTCTTAATGCCATGGACCTTTTCCAATACATTGAGGACAAAGGGTCTGTACAGCAGGAGGAGGCCAGGGATATAATAAAACAGTTGGTGGACGCACTTATTGCACTGCAGGAGAGGCAAATCTTTCACCAGGACATAAAATTGGAGAACATCTTGATTGTGACAGGCTCAACTGTCCCGCAGGTTCGCCTCATTGATTTTGGGTTAAGCGTGATAGGGAAAAAAGACTCAGTTTACAGGACATTCTGTGGCACCAGAGAATACATCCCTCCTGAGTGGTACAATTCCTCAACCTACACCGCTGGTCCAGCCACAGTGTGGCAGCTTGGGATTGTCCTCTTTGAAATGCTCCACATATGCGACAGATTTTCTACCAAAAGATTTCAAAAAAAGGTACAGAGAATCAGCTGTCGACTGTCCGAAACCTGCAGAAACTTCCTCCAGCTGTGTTTGAAGATGGACCCTGATGTGCGGGCCACCCTGACAGAGCTACAGCTTCATCCATGGTTGGGAGTAACTGCACCTCCTGCAGAGAAGATTTAGAAATTGATAAAATATAAGTTGGTATACATTGTATACTTGCGTATGCTCTGCACTACACCACTCCTCCTCCCTTGGAAGGATTGTGACAGATCTACGCTCACAGTGTGAAGATTCTATGTTTTTTTTCTATGTTCTCTCTTCCTCTCCCCTTTCTGTTTATTCTCCTGCAGGGCATGTGTGTGGCAGGTAGCTCTGCTGACTTCTCTTTCTCTGCACCAGACAAGGCACATCTGCTCTCCCCTATATCAACCTGCCCATAAAAGCCTGGTCTTGACCCTGCTGCTCTGCCAGGTAATTCCATCTAGCTCAGTAGTTGTGTGATTTTTCCTTGTGAATTTTATGGTGTTTCTTTGTAGAACCTCACCAGTGATTTTTCTCCATTTTACCCATGTTACAGTGTCTGCAGTGCTGAGTTTTTTTCCCTTCTATCTACTCTGTCTGCTCTTTGTTGCTTCTTTTTGAGCAATAAACTCTTTCATCTTTCTTCACCTGTATTCAGTCTCTCAGAGTGAAGTCACTAATGATGACCCCCCCCTGTAACTGTTATCAAAATAGTTGTTGCGCCATGAAAAGTGTATTTTGTTTATTCTTTGATACAGATACGAATGCACCTGAATGCATCCTGAGATCTGATCTCTGTATTAATCCCCGTCCATAACAACACGCTTGAAAATGCATATCACATGACTGCTCACTCAGGCCTGGACTTTTTGTTGCCTTTGTACAATGATGAGGCAGTGTACTGAAATACAATCTATACATTTTATTGACACATTGTAAGAGAGAACAATTATTCAAGGTATTTAAATGATGAAGAAATATTTACAGTATTACACAGTATAAAAAATCATTAAAAGTAGTAAAATGTAGTAAAAAATATTAAACACAGCATTAAAACGTACTAAAACAATTGAATGTATTATAAAGTATCAAAATGTAGCAAAGAAATATTAATAAAACATTAAAAGTATTGAAAAGTAGTAAAATATTACACAGTATTATAAAGTATAAAATGTATTAAAAAGTATCAAAAAAGAATAAATAAATCATTAAAAGTATTGAAAAGTAGTAAAATATTACACAGTATTATAAAGTATAAAATGTATTAAAAAGTATCAAAAAAGAATAAATAAATCATTAAAAGTATTGAAAAGTATTAAAACGTATATAGTACATTAGACAAACACCAATGAAGAAAGACAGTAAGAAATTATAATTCAGTCATCCACCTTAAGACGGAAGCAGTTTGTTAGGCTTGAGAATAATTTTCTGATTCTGCTCAGCAGTTTTCTCATGATGCCAGAGGAGGCTGTGGCTGTACGTCTACACTCTCATCAGAATGACAAGGAGAGTTCACTGGTGTTATCATCTCAAAGTCAGTTAACTTCACCCTGAGTGGCTGGTCCTGCATGTTGATACCTCTTTATATACAGTCTATGGATGATACACATAATGTTGTCCGGTTTGATGTCTGTATGCAGGATGACAAGATCCTTCAGGATATCTGAGGCCACCAAAATAATTAGAATATTTTTTTACATGTGCTGTTGTTGGGTGTTAGGTTTTGGTTTTGGGGCTCTCTCTAACTAAAGAGTTTTGGTTTCAAGATGTATTGATCGATTAATGGCAAAATAAAGAATCAACTGTAACAAGTAATAATATTCAGTTCATTCCAATGTAAGAGCCAAATCATAACATATTAAGGTCGAGACATTACGTTTCTAGAGAAACCCAACAGTCCCCACAATGAGCAAGCACTTCGGCGACTGTGGAGAAACTCCCTTTTTAACTGGAAGAAACCTCTAGCAGAACCAAACTCAGTGTGGGCGACCATCTGCCTCAATTAGTTGGGGTGAGCGGAGAAAAATTGGGAAGAGAGGAGAAGTGGGTGACGGAGAGGGAGTAAAAAAAAAAGGGGGGGGGGGGGGGGGTAATTCTGTGTAACTCTGTAAAACTGATAGTTGTAATGAAAATAATTCTCGTCAAATTGTAGAAATGCTTTCCTGTAAAGATACACTTTGAGCAGTGATTTAAAGATCGGTAGTGATTTGGTGAGTCTTATCTCATCAGGCATGGGGTTCCAGAGCCTCTGGGCCCTGACAGAGAAAACACGGTCACCTTGAATAGCCAGCCTTGACCTAGGGACAGCCAACAGGGACAGGCTGGCCGATCTCAGGTTACAACTGGAATTGTAGGGAGTCAAGAGCTGCAAAATGTATGTGGTGGCCAGCCCATTTCTAACTTTATAAACATGGGCTCAAAATCAATCCTGAATTTAACTGGTAACCAGAGAAGGGATTGGCGTGATATGAGCCCTACGATCTGTTTTTGTTAAAATACGAGCAGCAGCATTTTGAACAAGCTGCAAATGAGTTACTACGGTTTGGCTGAGGTATGTATACAGGGCGTTGCAATAATCCAGATGCAATAATCCAGGTTATGGGTTGGACCAGTCACATGTTGGACTAGATTATAAGAATTCAGTTGTAAAACCATTAGTTGGGTCATCAATGTGTATATTAAAATGACAGAAAATGATAATGCTCTGCCATAGTTTAAAAGAATGAAAGATAAGAGTTCATTGGTTTCTCTATTCTGTGCTACTGTTGAAAGTGGAGGACCATATCTCAATGTTTAAGGCGCATAGACTGATGAAAACGTGATGATTTTTTTGTTATAGGTGATTATATGGTAATAAAAACATCTGAAGATAGACCTACACACTCAACCTTTGAGGAAGTTTGTCAGTAGCATCAGTGATATAGCTCAAAAGTTTTATTTTATATAACATTGACCTCTGGGCAGAACATGAACTCAAACATATACCCACCTCGATCATCATGGCAAGACCTCGAATGGTTCAGGTAAAAAATAAGGCTTAAAAAATAAGTTGTAGAAAATAATAATAAACAGAGGCATACAACCTTCGAGGAGGATATTGATAGATGACCCTCTAAGAGCACAATCCTTTGCCAGGGCTGATTAGCCACTTTATGAAAATATTACATTTATACTTATATTGAGATCATATACTCACAGAAATGTTGTGCAAACTGCTTAAAATTTCACCTGTTACAGAAGTCAACATTTTCTGATGTTTCATAAAGATCTTCTCAGAAATTCCCAGAAATGCAGAATAATGTCCAATATCTGAAGAAAGAAAAAAATCTAAGAAAGTGAAACAAATTCCAGGATCTGCCCACTTAATCCAATCTGCTCCTTATCTCTGCTAAAGGGTTATATACAGTGATCTGTCTCTGACTGTATCCAACCTTTTGCTATTTGTCCTAGCACATCCAGAGAGGATTTTTGCAGCTTTACTTTGCTGCGTCATGTTACATTCACTTTGCACACATGCTCCATTTCATCTTCTCTTTAAATGAAAAACATTTCTTCTGTATATCTCCTCGTGCTGCTCTGACACTGCTATTGATTACATGTTAGTGCTGATAATGTTTTTGCCACTATGCTGATTCTCCCTCCCACACACACTGGAACAGGAATACAGCCTGTGAGGCAGGAAATAAACAGTCCCAGGCTGTGATGAAGCTCTTTGCTGGTGACAGCAGTGCTGGTGGGCCAACATAGGCAAACACCATCCATCAAAGCCACCTCCCTCTTTCACCTCTGGGTGCAGGCAAGCACAAGCTGAGATGAGCTGATAGTAACACCCAGCAGATATTATGCAGCTGCAGCCATTGCATCAACTGCAGCCTGAAGACTGCAGGCAGGCTTGTGACGAGAAGAACACATTTTGTGAACACATTTATTTCATTAATGCACAACAGCAACTGATTTAGGCTTTTTCACAGAAGATTTTTTGACAGGTAACAGTAGGAACAGCACATGTGTAAACAAGAAAATCAGTGCAGTGGCCCCACGCCAGACTGTTTATCTGGAATCCCCTACCCCTGCAGCAAGAGCAGGCTCCATGACACCAGTGGTACCACGACCACACCCATTGTGACAACACAAGGCCCTGCCTCCAGTATCAGTCCTTGAATTTTACTCACATAATGTTGTTATAAGTTGATGGGGCAGAAAGCGTTATGGGGAGGGTTGTTCAGAAACACTGTCGAAGGTAGAGTGGCTGTCGCTACTGTAAGCAGCTTCAAGTGACTGAGACAATGTGCACAATGTTTGAATGAAAAAAATAAAGCTTTAATTTGCAGCAATGCAAAGTTGTGTTGGTTTGTGGTAGATGCCTTTCACCCAAAGATCAGTGGTGGTTGACATTTACTTAGTTACTTTGCTGAACCTGTACTTTTCATGTATCTGTACTATTCTATTTATATATCTGTACTTTTTATTTTCACTCGACAATGTACTGTATGTCAGCATATGTCTGCACTTTCTAGTACATATTAACATATAGTTTTTATACATTTCTATGTATACATTAAATCCCACCTCCTGCAGCAGCATCACTGCATCAGCATCAGCAGCAGCATCTGAAATGGATTCAGATGAGATTCAGATGTAGTTGACCCTTGCATTAGGGTACAGGATACTTGGCAAGTGCTATTACATTTAAGTATATACAAGCAAGTACGAAATACTTTTACGTGAGTAAAAAAGTTCCAGTTGTTAATGTATTTTCCCTTGAGTACATCTTTGACTTTTTACGTGTACTTTTACTAGAAAAGAATGCTTGAGTTCTTGTACTACTAGTACTAGTTCTTGGGGAATTAATGATCATCTGTAATCATTATCTGTACAGATTAGCCTCATTATTCAATTTAGCTCTATACCACAAACTATCTACAATACTATATTCAATGAAATCATTGTATCTCCAAACCCATGGTCATGATTAACTTATATTACAAGCTCTGAACATCTATATTTGAAGACACAGAGATGGAGTTTGGTTAATAAATGTTTTTATTTGGCTTTGAGAGGAATATCACTGCAGGAGATAGCAGCACGTACAGTCACAGTTGTATAGCAGTCTGAAAAGTGTCAGCACTCATCAGAAACAAGTGAGATGCAAGTGAAAACATGTTTTTATTTTATCTTTCAGTCATGGTTAAGGCAAGTTTTTTAATTTTTCTAAATTGAACACACAACAAGCAAAAATCTATCCCATCCAGAAAAAGTTCAAGCTTCAAGAGTCAGGCCATGCATTTATGCCTGTTGGTTGATTCATTTGTCAAAAAAGAAGGGCAGGGCAGTTCAGGGGGAAGTGGGGGAAGAATATTAGGGTGAAAATAGCCCTTATATGCGACTCTACCATATAACCATGTACCCAGCAGCATCTGGCCCACCTGCCACTTGCAGTCTGTGCTGAGGACTGTCAGTGTCACCTTCAGCTGCCTGACACCAACAGCCACGCTCATTTTCACTTTGCTTCCTATTTCCAACTTAAATACCAACATGTTTGAGTGAGGAGAAATAAAAAATAGTTGTTTTTCTCTGAAAATTAAGGGAACGAATATAAGCAATTGGGCTTAATTATCAATTTTGCACTCTGACAGGTGATGTGGCTGATAAATCATTGACAAATGAATCAATCAAAAGGGGGATAAATCATATTCCCAAAAATATATATATATATATTCAGCAGCAATTTAAACTCTATACTTTTCATTCTCATAGATGCACTTTCTCGTGGAGAAGCTGCAGCTCTCCTCCTCCAACACACTTACTGTATATACAGTTTTACTGAGCTCCGGGTTGCCATTATTGCAGGGCTGTGATGCTGCAGTAAATTAGAGACAATGGAAGAAAGGGCTTGAATGGTTCAATGGTACATTTCATCTTGTCGTGGTGGGATGAGGTGTGGAATTAAGTGGGGATTGATGGAGTGGAAGGAAAGAGGGGAGTGAGAAGCAATCACCTGCTGTGTAGCATGTGGGGGTTGAGCTGCAGTTTAAATAGAAGCGTTTTCATTCCCTCAGACTGCAAAATTCAGGAATGAGCTGGTAGAGTTCACCTACAGTTGCTCCCCAACTTTTATACGTAAAAATCAAATAGCACCGTAAAAGTTGGACTGGCTGTTTCACATGCTCCGAGTTTCTGTGCATTTATCTTTAATGTCTGTGTGCTGTGACAACATTGTTACACTCTAGGTATTGATTGCTCTTACTGTGAATATTCTTCATTAATGGCACATTTACTGTTGCTCACGTGAGAAAAAATTTAATCATTCCTTATTTCAAACTAATGAGACTTTGATGTATGATCGCCTCCTGTGCATCTCTCTGTGACGTAAAATGGTGGTGACCTGTGAGGATGATTTCAACTCTTCTGCCCATCTCACACATCTGTTTCCTTCTACAGCTCCTTCTCTGTCTAATAACAGCTGAACTAATCACTTCTGAGTTACAGAGAAAACAGACAACGACACAGAAGGTGTGAGTGTGTGCGTGTGTGTGTGTGTGTGTGTGTGTGTGTAAGCGATGATGTGAACAGTAACCAGATCCATATAAGTGATTGGTGGGATGTGGGATGTCTCATTGAAGATGATGAAGATGGTGAAACAAGCAGTTTAGCTCTTGCTGTTCTTTCCGTTGGAGCTCTTCTTCTCCTTCTCCTTCTCCTCCTTCCCCTTTGGCTTCTCCTCCTCTTCTTCCTCCTCCTCCTCTTCCCCTTCCTCACCTTCCTCCTGGTCGTCACCCTCCTCTCCCTCTTCTCCCTCATCCTCACCCTCTTCCTCTCCATCATCTCCCTCCTCCTCCTCCTTCTCCTCTTCCGCCTCTTCTTCCTCCTCCTCCTCTTCCCCTTCCTCACCTTCCTCCTGGTCGTCACCCTCCTCTCCCTCTTCTCCCTCATCCTCACCCTCTTCCTCTCCATCATCTCCCTCCTCCTCCTCCTTCTCCTCTTCCGCCTCTTCTTCCTCCTCCTCCTCAGGCTTGGCACCGAACCTCCTGTAGGCTCCCAGGGTGTAGGTTCTGGCAGACATGTAGGAGAAGCCAGGGTAGCCCGACTGGACCATGGCACCACCGACGGAGCTGAGGCGGCATTCTTCACCTTCCAGCAACTTCCTGTATGGACAGAGAGAGAGAGAGAAGGGGATGAAGGGAGAGAGAGCAGGAGGAGAAAAGAGATGACGACCTTCTAGTCTGGTTTTGTTACTATTATTCTCTGAGTGTATCTCTCCTGAGGGATCTAATGTCACTGGAGTATCAGTGGCAGCACCTCTGTGGTCTGATTGTGTTTATTTGCCCTGAACATCATCACTGTTGCTGAGTGAGACTGTGGTAAGGTTTCACGCTGTGTCTGTAGTCTTCTGAGTGTTCTCTTTAAAATGCTTGAAATAAAAGTTGGGGTTAAAGTGCGGCTCATTTTAATGTAGAATTAATTTTTCAAGACATACATGAATAAAATTGAATCAAATATAAATACTAATTTTACCTGTAATTTATCTTTCAAAAACGATAGAAAGGTCGATTACTTGTGGGGAATTTTGCCTATTTTGTAAGCGTATCACTGAATTTCATAAATATGAACAAAACAAAAACATACAAAAATAATACTAAATCTTATTTCACTGTTCCTTTCTAGACACCCATTAGGACACCTCACATCTATATCATAAATAAACACATCTTTAAATACATCATATCAATAATAAGAAAAGGGTTATGTGTTGCACAGCTTAACACATGCACCTAAAGTCAGGTTCATTCAGTCCATACTGTTCACTGTTGTATTGATTGTACTGTGGCCAACCTGTAGGCAGCGATCTCAATGTCCAGCGCCATCTTGACGTTCAGCAGATCCTGGTACTCTCGCAGGTGACGGGACATTTCTCCTTTGGTGCTGCGCAGAGCGTTCTCCAGCTGCTGAATGGTGTCCTACACACACACACACACATGCACAGAGAGGGAGAGAGAGAGAGAGAGAGAATCACACTGTGAAATAGCATTGTTTTGTCATATAGACTGAAAATGACAAACATTTTAGAAAATATTTCAATTATTGTGCTGAAGTAAGTTTAGTATAAAAGTGATTTAGACCGTCCTATAGTTCATATCTCAGGCTGTGTGACCTGATTAGGTCTCTCTTTTTAGAATTAAGAAAATAAATGACGCCTTGTTATTCTCATACCTGCATCTCTCCAATTTCATTGTTATGGCGATCATCCATCTCCGCAATCTGCCTCTCCAGGGCTTCATTGTGGCCCCTGAGGGCCTCAATCTCCAGGGTGCGGGCCTGCACCTGCCTGCGGTACTCGCTCAGCTCCTCCTTTGAGTGCTTGATGGCGTCCTGGTTGCGGGCGGCCGCCTCGGTCACGGTGGTAAACTTGGACTGGTACCACTCCTCTGCCTGGACCTGGTTCCTGGCAGACAGGTTCTCGTACTGAGCCCGGATGTCCTTCAGGGCGGCAGCCAGGTCTGGCTTACTCATGTCCATCTCCACTGACACCTGGGCGTATAGGAGGACAGAGGACAGTTTTTACGTTTATATCAGATATCATCATATCAGTGGAAAATAAACACGATTTGGGGGTTGTCTTTTGTATTTAGTTTGAATCATTTGTCATGACATTACCCCAGATGAAAAAGGTTTTATTTCATCATTAAACAATCCAACTTGGTGCTGATGTGCAGGATTGATCAGAGAAGAAGACAATTTGATGACCAGTGTCATATGAATTATTGTTCACAAACACACCTTTCTTGTTGCACTGGAAAAATGCACAATATGTGTAAATATGTCTATCTTCTGAACAGTATTTAGGGCTACTGTAACACATTGGTTTACATACATTAACTAACCAGTATTTCAACAACAGTACAGATACTACTTGCCTACAGTTTCTCTGAAGCACTACATACTTCTGGTGACATACAGTATACATATACATATATACAAGGTGAGAGGGGTGTTGATAAGCTGAGGTGCAGTCTAGCGAGGTGGACTGCCGCAGCACTGATTCATCGACTGCTGAGTCAGGCCTCTCTCTGCTGGAGAGAGCTGTGGTGTAATAGCTTCGATGGCAACTCTATTCTCTGCAGCGGGGGAACCCTGGAGAAATCTACACAGCAACCATCACTCAAATGCATGAACTCCTGCACATTCAGTGAATTGACTTCTACACAGAGTTGCAGCATCCCCCACCTTCACAGTCATGGTTTTTGTTTGCTCCATCTGTAAATCAACTCCAGGAGCTTTAATATTTGAACACAAGCCAGTGTTGTTGACGGTTTTGTTAATGAAACCAACTCCATGTGCAATTGTGGCAAAAAAAGTTTTTGGGTCAAACTTTGACCATATTTGCTCTTTTGACTACTGTTTACCTTGAAGTGCACATTAAAACAAACTGCTGGGTGTGTGGTGCCTCTCAGATTATGTCCCGCTAGCTGCCCCCCTGGGGACAACCACACCCTTTGATTATGCGCTATGTATCTGCATCCCCCCTCCCTCCCTGCTCTGCCCCCTCCCCCCCTCACCAAACCCTCTGCGTTTATAATGACTTTGCTACAGTGTGTGGACGCTCTTCTGTGCCGTGATGCATACACCCCCCACACAGTTTTACCACATATTCAGTGCAGAAAAAAGGGGCTGAGACAAACTCCATGTTAAAGTTTGCAGGGGGGAGGAGGGAGGGACAGCGCGTGGAGCTGAAACGGAACTGCAGTGCCATCACTTATAATTAGTGCGCAGTGGAGGACGCAGCGTGGGCTGCAGAGCAACTCTGTCATTACATTATCACTGGATTCCTGCAGCACCTATGCAGTCTACATAAACTGCCATTTATGCACCTGTATTATTATTATCGCCAGTTTATGAGGTCTCTTCAAAGCAATCAGGCATTTGATCATTCTCTTTGCAATCTATTGGAGTCATTAGGAAACATAGGGAAAACCTCCAGTCACTGTCAGTCCACCAGCCTCAGTCCCTGCAGCAACATGTGTTGTGCTGGTTTATTGAGAATCATGTCTGGATATATGAGGATTAAAGAACATGTGAGTAGTCTAGTGTAAGTGTGAAAACTACAGGTGAATGATAAATCTGACATGTGGACCATGATCAACCACCTGTCACACTGCGGAGCTCCAGGCCGTGTGGACCCGGGTTTGGGGTGTACCTGTGTGGCCTGCAGAGACGTCTGCAGCTCCTGCAGCTCCTCCTCGTGAACTTTCCTGAGGAAGGCGATCTCGTCCAGCAGCGACTCCACTTTCTTCTCCAGCTCCAGACGCACCAGCGTGGCGTCGTCCACGTCCTTCCGGTAGCCCTTGAGGGCGCCCTCCGCCTCCTCGCGCAGCCGGCTCTCCTCCTCCAGCTTCTCCCGCACGCGCTCCAGCGTCTCGTTCATCTGCACGCAGTCCAGGTGCATCTGGCTCTTCTCGTGCGTCAGCTCCTCCACGCGCGCCCGCAGCTCGCGGATCTCCTGCTCGTACAGCTCGTGCAGGCGAGACGGCTCATTGTGGCGCTGTCGCAGCAGCGTCACCTCTGCCTCCAGAACCTTGTTCTGCTGCTCCAGGTTGTGCACCTTCTCGATGAAGGACACGAAGCGGTCGTTGAGTCCCTGCAGCTGCTCCTTCTCGTTGGTGCGGATGATTTTCAGCTCGTTGGTGACAGCAGTGGACTGTGTCAGGTCCATTCCGGAGTCCGGCATGGAGGAGAAGACGCGGCCGGGCGCCGCCGACCTGCGGTAGGTGGCGGAGGACATCACGGGGGGGGATCCATAGGTGCGGTGGCTGCTGCGGTAACCAGCGGAATGCAGACGGGACGGGCTGCTGCTGCTGCCGCCCCCGAGACCAACGCGACCGGAGCGGGGGGCATCTCCGAAGATCTTCCGATAGGAGCTGCTGCTGTAGATGTCACTGGAGTAACTCATGTTTCCTTTAGCTCGGTGGTGTCCTGTACGGGAGAGTGTGTGTGGAGTTCTGAAGTGCGTGAGGGTGAGAGAAAGTGAGATGCGAGTGATGTCTGAGCAGGACAGGTGCTTTTATAGCAAAGGAGCCGGCGCATCATCTGACGCAGAGACAACAGAAGATGAGGGGAAACCTGCAATCTTTAGCAGAAAGCCTCCACCCTCTGGGGAGACACGGACTCACTCACGCAGCCCCTCTGCTCAGGCTGGGGGGTCACGCGTCAACACAACAACTCTATAACACGATTTTCTTTATTGAAGCCTCTATGGCCCATTAAACTATTTTAATTTTTTGTTTTCTGTTCATGATCAAAGGCACGCAAATAATAACCAATTCTAATAAGTTATCTCATTCTGCCAGTGCATGTATGATCCACCTGGACGGTCTCAGGTTACTGTCAGTCCACTCTGCCCCTGCAGCTTTTCTTTGCTGTCCCAGCAGAAAGGCGGATGGGATCGATGAGTGGAGCTGTGCGCTATAGTGTTTTGGTGCTGCAGTCTGCATCCAGCCGCCCTCATCCCCTCGACCTCCGCAGTATCAGAACACGGGATGAGTCTCGTTCAAGTTGCGTTATTCCTCCTCTCACTTCACCACAAACATCAGCGCTGCAGCAGTATGGTGTAAACTGTGAGGCGGCGAAGTGTGACCTCCTGTGGGTCATCATCAAAAAAACGTGTGTAACATAGGAGACTTCTATGCAGCTATGAAGGCTGCTGTTGTTACAATGAAGTATCACACGTGTGTTTATGCTTTTAACTCTGTAAATAAGTTTGATCACAACCACCGGTAGTCATCTCACTCGTGGAAAGCTATATCTGGGCTCGGGTGTGGAGGTATGGAGCTGATAGGGTGCAGAGAAAAACAAGTGTCTGGCCCGCGTGAGGAGCAGAGCTGCGCAGAGGTGTCGCTGGCCTTGGTGCTGATCCAGGCTGGAGCGGCACCACGCCCCTGCGAAGGAGAGAGCCCCACCCACAGGACTGCAGCCTCACCACCACCACCACACGACACAACACGAGCCGCCTCTGGTTCCTCCCGTCAGGAAAATAAATGAGCATCAGAGCCCATGCCAAGCCATCTTAAATCAACTTGGACCAGTTCCACCCATCACCACCTGTTATGGTCGCCTTCAGTCAACACATAGTGTCTAGAATTCTCATTTTTAAGCATTTAATTTGAGAACATTCCTGTCTGCAGGTCAGTTTTTGGATTTCACTTGTCTCACTTTGTATGATGAGTCACTTTAAGGCCTCTCTCTCTCTCTCTCTCTCTCTCTCTCTCTCTCT